CTTATCGATTTCATAAAGTGGCAACACTTAAATTCTTATGTATCGATATTATTTCTTTAAGTTGCCTAGCTTGAATGTAAATTGTTAGATTGTCTGTGGTTTAAACTGTGACTTACTTCACTCTGTATTTATCATAATAAATACCCTCAAAATAAAAATATTAAAGTAATAATCTCAAGAGGTTATTTCTTCATTTCTCGTTGTTAGATTGCACATTAACACTGTTCACAAACTTTCTTGATTTATTTTTGTATAAAGTATCTTCTATTATCTTGATTTGTGACTTTTTACACTTGACATATATGAGTATTAAGGTAAAACTTGATATTATTTTAAGAGCAAACGAGTACAAGTCTATATTATTCTGTCAACGGAACCGGAACCTATTACCGGAATAACGGAATAATTATATATATAAAGAATAAAGTTATTTCTAAATAAGTAGGATGGGACGTCACTTCGTCTGCCGACCGCACGATACGTTAATAAACACTCCAAAACGAGAATTAGGAATACTGCAATTAATTGAGTTTCTCAATTATGTTAATTTTCCCTTATCTGTTAACAGAAAATTTAAGACTTATATAAATGATTTAGGTTGATAATATTGTTGTAATGGTACAAAAGGGCTTGGTGATTCATAATTATTAAAATATCATCCGAATGTAGAGAAGCACGGAGCTGAGTGATTTTATTGTACACTTTGTATTTGAAGAAGTGAGCGGACATATTTGTTATTCGTTGTTTCTCCAGAATGCACAGATAACAGCGATAACCCCTCGACAAAGGCCTTTAATCATCTCTGAATATAAGGAACTGCAAGCTATGCAGCCCTGTTAGTATACTTTGAGAGTTGTTGAACATTCCACGAGAATGATCGCCTTAGTGTTGTGCGGACTGCTGGCGGCGGTCTCGGCCGCGCCACAGCACTACTACCATGGCCCGTCACATTGGTCGTTCTATCATTACGACCCCTACAGTTCCTACGTTCAGGGAAGCATGTTTGGCACACATATGGTTTGGTCCAACCTTGGCAACGGGATGCAAAACTTGGACAACACGATGAAGACGCTTCCGTTGAAGCTCCCCAGCTCTAAAGACGAAGGTCGCGGGGAAGGCGACAAGTACCGGGTAACTATACCCCTGCCTGGTTACGATCAGAAAGACATCAACGTGAAAGCGAAGGATGGAGTGCTGATGGTGCAGGCTACCAGTAATTTTAATCATTACTTGAAAATACAGAACCTTCCCCGCGATGTGAATCCCGAAGGCAACTGGATTTATGAGAAAGACGTGTTGAAGATCACCTTCCCGCTGAAGCAAAAGCAGCCAGAGGATAGCCAGACGCCAATTGTAGAGCCCACTAAGACGACCTCTACGAATGAGAGTCGTGAAGAGATGGAGTTCACCACCAAGAACAACGTGCGGGACGCTGACGTCAGCTTGGAGACAGCTCAGAAGTTCAATGAGATCGCGAACGCTGTAGAAACGACTACTCACGCTGTCAACTTCAGAGACGATGTGCAGTTCTTGCCGAATCCATATTAATTTGATCAAATATAAATGTGAGAATTAATGTAATAAATAAGTGCACATATAAATAAATTTAGTTAATTAACATCATTGTATTTACTGATCAGTACATCCGCAGCTTTTCTTTATGCTGCTGAGACCTGGACATTGAGAGAAAGTGAGAAAAAGAGGATAGATGCTCTCGAAATGTGGTGCTGGAGAAGAATGCTGCAAATATCGTGGACAGAGTTCAGAACGAATCAGTCAATTCTACAAGAACTCGGCATCAAGCAGCGACTATCCTCCATCGTTCAGGGTCGCATTCTCACTTTCTTCGGGCATGTGTCGCGGCGGGGTGACGACTCAGTTGAGCGCCTTGTGGTGCAGGGCATGATAGAGGGTACAAGACCGCGCGGCAGATCACCGTTACGATGGACCGACCAAATAAAGGCAGCTCTAAGCGGTCCCGTTAACGAGTGCACAAGAAGGGCCGCGGTACGTGAGGAATGGCGACGTCTGGTGAAGCGCACCACCAACCGAAGTGATGACCACGACCACTCTGCCAAGAGTGCATACGACTGAGAAGAAGAACATCCGCAGCTCGTTACGGAGCTCTTGTTGTGGCTAATGTTAGTTTTAAAACCTATCCACGAACGTGTGTACGTAATGTACAGTACTTGCGCTACCTTCAAGCTGTGTTGTTGATAAAAAATTGGAAAAAAGTAAATGCAATAGTTTCAGTAGCACTTGATCAAAATAACATTATTAAATAATAAATATTATGGTAATATAATATTCTCTCTCTGTTGCTAAATTAATATAAAGTTGTAGTTGATTCATATCAAAGCTGTAATTGTACTCAAACAACAAAATTCGATAGTATTAAGACCTATAAATTGTTTTTTTTTTTTTTTTTCAAATGATGAGTATGGCTTAGATGGAGTGATGGCACTGAGAACCACACATTAGTGATAGTGTTGAACTGCTGCCGTCAATTAGCAACTTAGTGACAACATTGATGTGTAGCATAGCACACTCCGAATGATAGTGGTTTCTTGAAGTACTGTGGTCTTTTGCGGTAAACAGTGGTAAACATTTTCGTAGAAATAATATCTTCCTGTCACACGCTCTGCTGCAGGAGGATGAGTTCGAAGCCCGGTCCTGCAATCGGATTGACATAGTGGCGTTTTCATACAAACACTTCAACACTTCGATGTACCGGTAATAAATTTGGCACCGTTGGAGAGACTGAACACGGCCCAGGTCTCAATCGAATCAAAAGCTTTCTTGTAGTTCACAAAATCTAAACAAAGCGGCTTGTAATATTCCTGTCTTTTGTACAGCCTTTTTTTTTCGGGCCGGGGGCCGATCCTCCTACAAGGTATCCATGCCTGGGGGGCACGCGGGGTATGTGGGACTTGACGGTCTGCATATGTTGGGAGCAGACCGCGGGCCTAAGGATATTTTTAGAGCCCTACCGCACTAAACGCAGCAGTATTTCCGCTCCTCCTAGTGCTGGTATGGTCCGCGTCATCCGATCTCTTACGTTGCAAAGCCTACCTAGCTATTATAATCCTAAATATACTTCTTTTAATTCTGGAGCAAGAGTGATCAATGAAGGCCTTCGGGTTTGAATCTTACTGCACGCCGTTACACCTCCATCTGGAAATCGAGCCCTCCGTAAATGCCTGGTAAGCGGGGTGCCTGTTGAAAGATTTGAACTTGGACATAATCTTTTCATCCATTTAATGTTCCGCGGTGATTGCTGATCGGCAGGTGTTTCAAATCCTTTATCAACTTATTGTAACAATTGTTTACATCCCAAAGATAATCATCCCGTTTGGGGTAGATGGGGTGATACTTACATGCTGACACACGGCTACGTGGTTACGAAGTGTTGTTGTATCTGTTGATAGTACGATATACGAACATACGGCTGATACCAAGCTTTTGAAGTCTCTGAAATATGACCGATGGCTCCATACCCACTTTGTGCAAGGCAATCACTGTAATCCTATTTTCTTTAACACCCCATTCCGTATTGTAATTCGATGATGAACACGAAAAAATATGTGAAATGGCGTAAAATCGAAAGAATTTCCAAATTTAAAAAATATTCCAAATTTAAAAAAATTACAGTACCCTTACTCCGGGCTTCAGTGCTGGATTAAGCAAGCGCAGGGCCCGTAGAAAATTATTTCAAAGAGCCCTTGATCTACTATGGGTTCTCAAGTATAAAGTGGTAAAAAAACAAATCAATAGTCTATACGTTTATTTGCCATCTATAGGTTACAATTTTGTGGGTATTTAGTAAATTACTATAGGCGCTGTTAGGCTCTGCCAAGTACAAAAAGCCAGAGATGAGATTTTCTGGCTATATAGAATAATTTTGACAAGAAACTAACAATTGAAAACTGATGATACCACACAAATTATTTTTTTCAATACATATTTCAAAGTTGATATTTAATGCAAAGTATATTATTATTTTTTGAGGAATAGCTAATGTTATATTTTATCAATGGTGTTTTTTAAATAATGTTTATGTTTTATATTTATTTATTTGTTTCTTTTATTATTTTTTAAACTTCTACAAAGTTTTTTTTAGATTTTTTAGAACAACTTTTCTAGATTTAATGTGGGCAAATTAAGAAATGATACTATTCGTATCAATTTCTCTGAGCAAATCATGTTCTATATTCATCAAAGCGAGATTATTCAGACGTTCTTGACTCATAGTGTTCCTTGTGACTGTTAATCTTACAAATCTAATATATAAAATTCTCGTGTCACAGTTTTCGTTGCCATACTCCTCCGAAACGGCTAGACCAATTTTGATGAAATTTTTTGTGCTTATCCGGTATCTATGAGAATCGGCCAACATCTATTTTTCATCCCCCTAAATGTTAGGGGTAGTCCACCCCTAATTTTTATTTTTTATTTTTTAGACAAAATTTTTAATTTCTATTTTTTTACGACACAACATACAAAAATACATACAATCCTCAATTTTCACCCTTCTACGATCAACCCTTATTTTTTATTTGCTAATTAAAAACTTTAATTTTTTTGGCAAGTTTTTTATTTAGTTTTATCATGACTTAAAATAAAAAAAATCATATTACTATCAATTTTCACTCTTATACGATCAACCCCTATTGTTCCATCCGCAATAAGGTTGCAAGATGGCAATCAAATATTATAATTGTAGTACGATAAATTCTTATTCAGAGTTTATAATTTCAACTTCCTTTAATTATGATTTTTTTTAAATTGAATTTGATCTCCCGCGCTCGCCGGTCGACTACTGATCAACTATCAATCGATCAGCTATCCCCACCAGGTGTCACCACTGATCCAGCAAACATCACGTAGTAGGGATGGGGACGAAGCCGGTCTCCTGTCTTACTTACTCACTATACATCATAGATTATACACTTAATATA